AATAAACTTAGTTTTACATATTTGGCCGGTGCACGTCACTCATATTCCTCTATGACCACATTAAATTGCGCCGACTACATACCGCCATTTTCTACCATCTCCACCTGCAGTTTGATTATCGTTTTTGAAACTGGGTACTGTCAGCCCACGTCAGTGGTTAGAAACTCTAACAACTCCTAGGTGCCTGCCCTGTCGTGTCGTAGGTCATACTGCCTCTTCTGAATGGCAACAATGAAGCACGTTGCGCCCTCGAAGAATTCGGCCGCATCGGAGTAAAACTCGGATCACACACTGAGTGTGCACTATTTTATCAAGACTTCAGCTGAAGAACACAGCTAGTTTCCGTATAATTCGGTTTCGGAACTATTCCCATCAAGTGCTAGCCGCCTTGCGCCCCGTTATTCCCGTATGTTGCATATTTACATTTGGAATACCTGTATCCGGGGCCCTGCTTTGGCACTGCCTCTTCTGTATCTATCTATTCCACTACCCCCGATCAAGCCGTTGTCTGTTCAGTCTCTACCGCTCCCATCCATCTGTTCTTACCACTCAATACTTACTGGGTACGAAGCGCGTATAGCTCCAATCGTCCTAAAATATCTTATGTTGGTGAGCGGCGAGCCACTCTGAATAACACCTCGAAGATTTGTTAATGGTATGAAAGTAGCTGCAAGCTTGGGAGCTGAGCACATTAGGCTTGAAAACGTGTGGGAACAACAATGGTTGCGGTTGAACCAACTCGCTTTCTCAGACACTATGATACACGCTTAGCAGTAAATAGAGCGAGCTTAGTGACTGCTATTGAGGCACGGGATTTCCCTAGTTTATAAACAGGCGCTTTAAGTTTCATTCGGTGACAAGTGCTGAAATCCGGTTTACGGGCCCGTAAAACAAAAATCACAGCAGCCTCTTAATTTTCATGTTGGGCCCCTGGCTTTATTCGCGATTGCAAACACGGACGCTTCCAAAGCGAATAGACAAGTGCCCGAGGCTTCCGGGATTAGTATTGCATTTCAAGATGTTGGTCAAAAGGATGAAGGGCTGTGATGAACACGATTGATACTTTATTCATTGCTCTGTTCATTATTCTCTTGTTTCAGTATTCCACATGATGTACATATACGCCAGTTCGAATACATACATGCTACTTGTTACGCTGATCTGAATTCTGGATTCCTGGTTCGTCTGGTAATTCCGATATGCGTGCGAAACTTAGTTCTCACAAGGGCCTTGGAGGAAAACACCACATTTTCACTTGCAAATTATGGGTTTCACCTAAGGCACAAACGAAGCTGTCTCCCCTTTTGCACATGTTATCCTCTGGCCATTTAATCGTACCCGCTTCTGAACGATCAACCTTGCAGGGCTCAAGGCTGTTGTATTTGATTATTTTCGAAATCACTTACCTTTTCAATTGCGATTATGGATTAAAAAACTGGACCTTGCCGACTACTTAATCAGAGCATGAAGTTACCATCGAATTTTGCAGCGAAAAGCTTGGTGAACTGCTGAGGGCCTCTCATCGGATCCTTTGTTTCACCTACATTTAATTTCATGGACGTTTAAAGCTATGGCTTTATTGTATGACATGGACACGACACATTCCCCCGCCGAAGAGAGACCGCAACAGTGCTCACTCAAGCCCTATTGAATTCCAAGGTTGTCGTTGCACCATAGCCTGCCGTGAGGTAGACCGAAAATCGGTGTCTGATTTCGCAGCTAATTTTTGCGTTCTGCGGAATTCAACAAAGTCCCCTTACCTGCATTTTCAAACACAACCCGGTATTTTCAGGAACTCCTTGGAGTGACACCTAATTCAGCCCCAGTACAATGCAAATGGCATATTCGCTGAACTATATCTGTAACGACCGTTTCGAATTCTTGAGCAACGAGCACCAAGTTTAGCAACAAAACCGGCAAAACTCCGAACGAATGGCGACACAAATGTGCTGTAGTATAAAAATGAAAGCAGTTACGCGGAATACAAAATTACAAACCTCAACGGTTTTCGACAAAAGGTGAGGTACTCCAAAAGGCAAGCAAAGCTGATATGGATCAACAGTCAACACGCGACCGAAACCGTGTCTCAAACTCAAGGTTTTAGTACAAAGATAGTATAATCAAAGCGGTAAAAACGATTTGCGCGGTAAGGAAAACGGAAAATATGGATGTCTTGCAAAGGGGGCGGTCCATTTGAATTGTTAACCGGGAAGGCAGTCACTCAAGGTTGGAGGTAATTTTAAATATGTATGAAGCTGCAACAATATCACTACAAAGAACGTTGTCTACTGACTTACGACTCACTATCGCACGACCATAATTCTCAGTATTTGAGAATTCAACGTATATGGCTGCAGCAGCCCGCGGATAATCCAGACCAACTTTCATTCTTTATTTCGCCTCACTCCGAACTAAGTCCGGCTTTAAGAGCCGTACGTCCTCCGCCCGAGAAATAAGCCTCGGGCTGCCAAACTGTGCATGAACTCACGTAACTCCACATGAACTGACCTTGAAACGGCTTTAAAGGCGGGTCGGGTGGTCACTGACTATATGCTTCGGGCACAACTAGCTGTCTGATTGGTTAGGTTTCCAGCCTGTTCGTGGAAGTGGTTGGTTAAATTTTTTCATGTCCCAGTGGTCTGTAGACGGAAATGAAAACTTACATGAAAAATTTCCAGAAATGTGAATACACATTAGTAGCTGGATAGCTAGGGTGTGCACATTAAGTTTCAACGATTTTTTGGCGAGGAATGCTTTCCGTTTTTAATACCGGCTAATGTGATTTCACAAATCAACTAAAAGAAATAGGCTTAAATGGCCGTGGACCATTTTTTGCACGCTATTTCTTCTATCTGGAACACGAAGACCAAGAAGATGCTCTGACAAATCCGCCAACCTAGAATGTTATTCTGTGCTGAGGCGCATGTTTCCAGAGTAGTACTTTGCACGACATCTGGGCATGCGCATGACACCCGAAATCATGCCTGATTCTTCTAACCCTGGTTTTGATCTGCTGGGATGCGGTTGTGACCATTCCTCATTACCAGGACTGTGGACCAATGAGAGCTCGGTATTTTCAGCACGCTGTCTGCCTGGTTGTCGTGCCGACGGCTGACTTACGTGTTTATTTCCAGGATGCGTCGGTTGATTTCCGTGATTGCGTTGTGTTTGACGCTAGGATTAGTGACAACATCTGTAGCAAAGCACCCACAGTCAGATCACAAGTCTCGAGTTAGTGAACAGGTATGTATTTTCCACAGCTCCTTTCACGTTCAAAAAGATGCTCCCCGCCTGACACATGACTAGAAAGGTGTAACGGTTAAAAATGAGGAACCAGAACATCAGATCTGGTGAAGCAACAGAGTTTGCGTCATCCAGCCGGTCATATTGAACTGAAATCTAAAGTCCCCGCTGAGGCCTCATGGTTTTGGACTGTTAGGCTGATGGCCAGGGACGCAAAAAGCGTTGGTAGGGATAATGAAGAGGACAGGCTAACAAAGCGAATAAGCGGTGAAAGGAATCCAAAGAGCATGGTGTTGCTGTTGGGGAGTCAGGCATAATAGTTCCTCGGAAGAGTGAGATAATGGCAACACGCGAGCAGGAGCGTGAACTGTATAGAAAGTTATTGTATTTTGCGGAAAGCACAGACGCCCAGAAATGGTTGAATTGAAATGAAAGATTAAGCAGTTTGGAATGAAATTGTCATAGAGGCAGTTGGGGTCAGATGGGGAACCCGTTCGTAGTTGAAGTTAATGGAACGAGCAAGCGAGATGGTACGGTCGAGAGAGAAAAGGGAATAGCTGCGGGGTTGCAATCAAACTGGGTATGCCAGTGAAATGCCATCATTGGTCTGACACGCTTCGGTTTTTGGATAGCCCCGTAACGGACTTCACATTCTAGGTCATTGGGCTGGGATGTACGATTCTTTGAGCCTCGTCTGCTCACTCGAACTTATTTCAAATGGTCGGCCCCTTCATCAGCTCTCTGTTGTAACACGTCCTTGTAAACGCTTCCATAGATTCAAAACATTTTTTTTCATTCGCCGCCAAGCCGTGTTTTCGAAGCCATATTGCCCACACAGGTCCAAGCGTGGTTAGATGGGACATTCTGGGAGAAATATGAAGAATAACTTCAGTCCTGTGCACATCAGCCTGGACACCAGTCCCTGACACTGCCGACTCCTACCAATGTTTCTTGAGGGAACTCAAGTCTGTTTCGACTGTTCGTTGAACGTGAACCTGAATGTATCACTACACCCATATGGTCCGTTCAGGTTTATACAGCACCAAAAGGTAAAAGTACGTTTATTTCTTCGGCACACTGTCAAACAATGGGGATCTGCTGTCACGTACTTTCGGCCGCACACCAGCTCACTGTCCTGATCTAAGGACCTTACTCTCCAAACTAGCATACACACCTGGTGAGCAGCTTGTCGATCTGGAGTGCGCAGACGAAGGTGAAGCAAAGCCCTGCTGAATAAAACGACCACCGTCACCCTCTTTCGGTATGCACCCTCTTGCACCTTTAAAGTCAGGCTTCACATACATACTATTCAAGGAGAGTCGTTGGGTTTTGTGGACAATTTCAAACGTCTCGGTAGTTGTATTAGCTCTGATGGCACTGTTTGATGAAATCAGTGCACAAATCTTAAAAGCCCAAATCACGTCTACTAATTTGCGTTACTTGTGGCTTCAAAAAGACATCGCTTAATTTCAAGTATTGCGTGTACCAGGCTACAGTAAGGGTTGTATTGTCGTGTCTTCGTGAGGTAGGGCGCCTTCGGATGATGAAGTGAGGCGTCTTCGTTTTTTCTGCTACTACGTCCTTAGAAGCACTGATGTTGTCGAATGGCGTGAACGAATCCGTAGTGGGTTGTGTGCAACAGGTACTTCATTCGCGAGAAATATCCAGCTCCATAACTGTTGTAGTTCATCCATGTGCTGCGCATGCCAAAACACAGTCTACCGAAGCTTGCGTTAGTCACTGTATCCATAATGCCGGAAACCGTGAAGTGGAAGTCGTACGGATTGGCGGAAGAGTGTGAAGGAGGTTACAAAGAGTTTGGGTGTCGCTTCTACGGTCTGACTTTCAGGGTTGGATCCCTTTCACCCATCCTGCGTTGTAGACAGTGCAATGAATAGCGACTAATCGGTGTCGGTTGCTTCCGTGTTCTGAGTTCCTTTCCAGATTGCCTGGTTGAGAGTTTGGAGGTACAGGCACCTTAAAACGATTTATGCTGACCTGATGATGATAATGATGACGACACAGTTGTTGGNAGTATTGTGTGTACCAGGCTACAGTAAGGGTTGTATTGTCGTGTCTTCGTGAGGTAGGGCGCCTTCGGATGATGAAGTGAGGCGTCTTCGTTTTTTCTGCTACTACGTCCTTAGAAGCACTGATGTTGTCGAATGGCGTGAACGAATCCGTAGTGGGTTGTGTGCAACAGGTACTTCATTCGCGAGAAATATCCAGCTCCATAACTGTTGTAGTTCATCCATGTGCTGCGCATGCCAAAACACAGTCTACCGAAGCTTGCGTTAGTCACTGTATCCATAATGCCGGAAACCGTGAAGTGGAAGTCGTACGGATTGGCGGAAGAGTGTGAAGGAGGTTACAAAGAGTTTGGGTGTCGCTTCTACGGTCTGACTTTCAGGGTTGGATCCCTTTCACCCATCCTGCGTTGTAGACAGTGCAATGAATAGCGACTAATCGGTGTCGGTTGCTTCCGTGTTCTGAGTTCCTTTCCAGATTGCCTGGTTGAGAGTTTGGAGGTACAGGCACCTTAAAACGATTTATGCTGACCTGATGATGATAATGATGACGACACAGTTGTTGGCAGCAGCATCAGATGAAAACAGTGGCGCTCCACTGCCGTACAGCTACGTCAGTTTATTTTACTAAAGCCGTATAACGGAAAGAAGAAAGAAATAAGACAGGATTTAGAGCCATCCTGTCACCAACGCACTAGATGCTTTCAATTTCAACTCTCAGTCGGGCCATATGTATAGAGACTTGTGGTGGTTACAGAAAGCCAAGGAAATGGGAGACCATCTTGAATATGGGAGAATGACTTGATCGTTGGGCCGAATACTTCGAACAACAATGGTCGTAGCCATCAGCTGCCTTTCATTTGGTGCCCCGAATAGGCACCAAGTGATTCTCATTGCGCCTGGTTGGAGACGGTGCAAAATATGGCTGCCAACCGACGTCAGTGGCGATCTTGTCAATTCATATCCAGATTGCCCGAGTGAGTGTTTAGAGATGTAGGCATCTCGGGATGATTGAATTAAGCTAAGTCCCCTCTTTGTCCACCTTTATTCCTTCCTTGATAATAAGGCTTCGAAATAAATCATGACTGTACGACAGCGAAGCATCAGTGTTGAACGCTGATGTCATACTATCCATGGTGGTTGATAGAAACGGACACCATGAACGCCATTGATATCGGATAGCCACCATATCGTTCGGTATCTCCAGCCAAGCACAGGGAGATGTCATCCTGGAAGGTGAACAGCACCAATGGCACCCACACTTTTCGTAAATTTCTTCATGCCCTTCTGCCATGCCAGATTTTGTCCACATCTGGGCTTCTGCATCTCTGAACTAGACACGGCTGGCAATACGTGTGACACACGGCCCAGCCTACTAGCTTCCAGTGCTGCATATACCCTCTCCCACACCAAATATTCGTCTCCTGATCAGCTCGTGAATTCAGTGGTTCCAACCGATTTCAGCTGCACTTGCGAGACATCGGTGGTCAAAGGTATGAAGATGTCTTGGATCCTGTGCCCGAAGTGGCCAAGTTCCACAGTCGTGTAGCAATGCAGCCGGCACCATAGTCTGATTCACACAACCTTTGAGACTCAGCTATATGCCTTTTTGGTATCGCAAGTGGCACAAATTGGGAACGTAGTCGTGGCTTTCGAAATTCGTGCGTTGACTCTGTCCGTCAAAGTAGTGTCAGAGCTAATGCAACCTGCAAGGTACATATAACGTCCAAAACATTTCAGTGTAACTCCTTGGGTTTTTAGAGGCATTTTCAAAGACTGTATGTCCTACAGCGTAGGTTTACACTTCGTGGGTGCGAACCACTTGTCGAAGGCCTGGATGGCTGGTCAGCTTTTCTAGTTTTGCTTCTGCTTTCTGCTCTTCATGGGTTGAAACGATTTCACCTGCACATATCAGGTCGACAAGGTCTTCGATCGAAAAGATATGAACACCCGGAGTTTTGGAGACCTAGCGTTCGCCTCACTACTTCATCAATCACGAAATTAGACAAAAAAAGGAGAGTGGGAACCCTTATCGGACATTATTACTTGTTCACAGTGTGGTTTTAGACCTACGCCCGTGTGGGGGCGAGATGGACCAAGTGGTTAGAGAGCGAATTTACTGACCGGAAGGTCCGTGGTTCGAACTCGACCTCTGCCTCTCGACTTTCCCTCTCTAGACTTGGGCGACCCGGCAGTATCCCAGCCCTTCGTGTGGCATGGGAGCTAGGCACCGAAGGGGTGCTGCAGCCGAACGATTATTATTACTTACTTGTGGGAAAGATTTTTGAGAGCTCTCCGTACATTGTAACGTGTCTACAAACAGCAGATGATATTCACGGACTTCTACGTTGCACATTTTCCTTCGCAAGCGTTTTGAAAGGAACTAGCATATCATACATAATTTGAACCTTATGCAGCACCACTGAATTGCCGCTTTACGAGGCCACTAAACCATCGGATTCCGAAAGCCACACATGCCTTCTACCGGGGACCAGAAACTGGACTTTCCAGAAGAGAGCATTCAGTGAAAATCCAACTTCGAAACCAGGTGAACGTTGGAAGAGAGTCAACGGCATGCGCTGTAAGGTCATTTGAAATCCGAAACCCGCAAGGAAATGGAGTACCAGTAATAGCCAGTAGGCAGTAAAATACAAGGGCGAGTTAAATTAGAACACACAGAGAAGGCTCAGGGAACGCTTGATGTCACTGGTGCACCTTATGGAAAATTGCTTATGGTCAGTGCATGTGCACCGAAATCCATGTGGGACACCCGTCCCCAACCGAAAGCACCTAGGTCCGATTACCTGGAGCCATAACTCACGATAGCATCGCTGTTGTTCCAAACGCTCATACGTCAAATGAATGCCCAAGTCGTGATCTGTGCCATTTCACAACGTTGCAGAGCTAACATAGTCATAATATCTCACAAGATTCGAAAATATCAAACTCACTCTGACGAAATCAGTCTCGATCCTAACGCAGCACGTATAGTCCTGTTATCCAGAGTCGACTCTAGATCACAACTGCCTAATGCAGTCCGGCTTCAAGGAGGCGAGGCTACAGACCAAACGACCTATTTTTGCTGTCTCTACTCACGCTGATTCAGTCACATTTGGAATCCATGCATTTAGGTCCATGGTTTGCTAAGAAGATTCCCGGCACCGACATCGTTGTAGTTTCCAGAGGTCTTCTTTAGACATTTCAATGGCCCTGATAAGGCTGGAAGTGACAACAATGACTGTTTTCTGACTTTGTGTGTTGACCACCGTCCGCCTATGACTGGTCCGGACTTTTGGCATCGTAAATACCATCCGGTAACGTGGCACTTATCCTCTACACGCCAGAGGTGAGTGTTTTGCTCACCTTACTACTAGCTACCGGTAGAGCAATTTTCTCATGATTATCGTTCCTACGGGGACATTGTTTGCAATCTAATGACGCGGAGTTGTGCGTCAGATTGTGTATGCGCTTAATGGTTAGGGCACCAACTTATTGACAGAAGGTTCGTGGCCGAACCCAAAATCGGTATGTCGACTCTTGCTGTCTTGATTTGGGCAACCTGGAAGTAGCTTAGCTCTCTTGCCTCGGGTGGCCTGGCAGATAGGCACTAATGGGTGTCACAGCTTAACGATTATCAGCTATCGTGGAAAAAGAGCAAGCAAACTGTTGATAATTGAATTACCAGTCTTACGAAACCAACTGATTCATCATTCAGAGGAAGCTGTCTTTCACAGCAACTGTTTTTGCCTGGACCAGATAGTTGCATTTTAGGTCACACACACGTTTACCCATGACCGCTACTTTTCTCGACATCAGTGATTCTATCAACAGAGGTAGTTTTTGATACTATGTTACTAAAAATGATAGGATAAGTTTGCGGGTATCTTGAAAACACACTCAAACACCTGGGTACATTGGAGTGAATTCATCCAGGGTTTCCCAGTATCGCCATTTCTATTTACTTTCGTAAGCGACGGGATCTTCAGAACCTGTGTTTCTCGAGTCAGTAGTAGTTGTATGGATCTCTCTCCAAATAGGAGGGGGCGACTAGGCTACGCGGATGAGATAGTTTTGGGGTGAAGATGTAACTGCCAGCCAAACCACTCTTGGTAACCTCACTTTGGAAGCCATTGGTAATCCTTACCGCCAAGGCGCAAGACGGGCCGGTAACCACACTTACCTTGAGCTTTGTATATGTCGTGAACTGCTTGAACCTAACATCTTTGTCAGAGGTGACTTGAAATCGGAATTGTGAAGGCGAAGGGCATCGACCAATCTCAAATCCTCGTACCGGCGGCGGCATATCGGCTTTTGCCTGGAGGCACAAGTGTCGAACGCGCGTCTGTCAAAGCAGCACTTCTCGTAGATATGGAAGCTGGTTACTGGGTCCGCCGGAGACACAACAGTTGTCTGGGTTCGGCCATCCTTGTCCACAACTGATTTCGCAATTTTAATGGCAACAACCTGTGAGCACTGCGAAAATACAATATCGGGTCTTTGGTGACGTTAACGACACAGGACTGAAGCTCGTGTTCCGACTACGCAGACTTCGCCAGGTAGGACACCCGAAGCTGGAACCACAACGACTACTAATACGAACCTTATTCGTGCTGCCAGGCGAAGGGTGCAGGAAGCGTTTCGAAGATCAACCATTAACATGGAGACAAACTATAAAAGGTAGTACTATCAGACTGACCTATGTTTTACCGTTTCAGCCGCTTGGCTGTGCTGTGCTGTCTAACACAATGGCTCTTTTGAGTGTACGAGTTTGACTTTGGAAAGTCGTCCTTTTTCTTTGGGTAGCAAGCTTATGGAGCAGATTACCTGAGTAGCTGTTGCCGCGTCATTACTGTTTCCAAGATGCTCGCCTGTCATTCGGCTTTTCTTTTGGACCTCCCAGACACTTATAAGGCTATTCAATTGATCATCGATCGGTTTCTGAGTCTTATCACTGTCGAACGTGGCTGACAACAAGGCTGTTGGAAAAGTGCAGTGGCAGTACTACTTTTTAGGATTAACGGAAGAAGACTGAAAGAATCTTTGATATGAGCTTTTAGGACTGTTTTCCCGAACTCAGCCGCGACCGAATCAACCCTAAATGTCACGTTGACAGCTCATACTGGTGCCAGAATAATTATACCAACAGCTGTCGCTCATGGCGGCTCATTGCAGATTCCCTAGACACCGAGTAGCCAGAGAGCTGATGAACAGTGAATGTCTATAAAATAAAGAAGGCTTTCGTAGCCCCGCCTCATATTTCAAAAGAACACTGGCAAATGTTAATTTGTTGTATATTGTGATTGATCAAATCTGTAGACGCTTTCGGAGTAGGCAACAACCTTATCGCTAGTTTGTTTGCCTCATGTTTTCTCAAGCTCTCCACGTCTGTATTTGTTAGTCACATGCGTTATTACACAGTGGTTCTTATTCCAACCTTTTCCCCCAAGGATCTAAGTGCTGAACAACACACGATCGACGGCGAGCACAATCCCAAATACGACCAGGATGCTCTTTTTGGCAAGGCTGCCGACGACTTCCGTGGTTTACCAGACAGTGCAAAAGAATCTCGGTTGAAGTGAGTTAGTTGTGATCTCGTGTGTGCATGTCGTATATATATACCGAAAGGTTCAGGGTTCGAGTTCGGTGCTTGAGGGTTCGCTGCTGAGCTTCACAGTACCTCACCACTTGCATCTAACAGGCTGCATTGCATTGTCGCACGTTTTTAATGGTCCACCAGACCCACCGCTACATGGGTGGGGGTGCGAGATGGTTCAATGGTTAGAGCGCGAATTTACTGACCGGAAGGTTCGTAGTTCGAACCCGATGTCTGCACTTCGACTCCCCCTATCTAGGCTTGGGTAACTTGGCAGTATCCCAGCCCTCGTGTTTCCTTCGGGTGGCATTGTAGTTGGACACCTATGGAGTGCTACTGCTGAACGATTTATTTTTTTTACCGCTACATGTTTGGTTTTCTTGCTAATGAGTTAACCTGTCATTCCAATTTCACGCGTCTGAAAACTGGAAATCGTAATTTAAGTGAACTAGATTTGGTTTCAGCTTCACAAAATTTTGGACATGCATGGCGAATAGCCACATCTTGTTTTTGCTGCCTGATTTGTTTTTGTAATAGTTCTTGTTCTTGGAAGCCATGCTGTTTTTACTTAGTATAGGTCTTGTAGTCTGTGGACTACTTCACACGATTGATAGATCTGGTTAAGTTACTTGTATTGGTATGGTGCTGTTGTCATGGAGGTACCAGTCTTCAACACTAGTGTTGCAGTGTAGACCCGAGAGGTTGCCAGCTATTATTAAGAAGCTAGGACGATGGACGTGTCAGTGAAGGTGCAATCAATTTGATTTTTAGACGCGAATACATTCGTTTGATTTGTGGGAGTTTGATGTATTTTCCACCTCTAGGCTTTCTGGTTTTGTATTCATTTACCGTTACACAAATTCCAATCAGTTATCAGTTGCTTTTCAAGGCGACACTTTTTACGCATTTCCTTGTTAGTTAACACGTTTGCTTACCACCGTTTGTGAACCCTGCTGATGAATGCGATTAATTGATCGGTGGTTGGGTAGCACATTTGCGCCAAACTCGGACGATGGGAACCATTAATGTTGGATTATGGGTGCTCTTCGGGATTTGTGAAATAAGCTGGTAATTGCGAGAGAGGAAAATAAACGCACGCGCGACAGGTGTGTGGATTGCAGTTCATGTGTCGCACTGCTTTGGCTTCTTGCTTTCCAGTCGTGTGCATCGATGGAGGGCTTTCACTGGAGTTACTGATGAGGGAACATATTCGGAGTGTGATCAGGCCACTAGTTTTCATAAAGCTCCCATCCATCAATATTTGGTGACATTGACAGGCAGGCGGTCAGTTCTTACTTTTCACATTAGAATGAGTCGGTTCACAGAGGTGGAAACTATGCCAGATATGCGTATCGCTAATGGCACCCGGCATACGGCCAAATCATCCTACCACGCTGTCCTGTGACGAGTGAAATAACCGTTTGCCTTCCTAGCCAGGGGCATGTAGTTTACACACTGAAATGGGACAGGCATTCAGTTGGTGGGAAGGATCTGCTGTTCGCGGAAAGGGCTTGAATGGTGTTCAGCATGACTAATTCACATCGATTATAGCCCCAAATTTTACCTTCATTTTTGACTTGTTTGTTTCGGCTATTTAGTTTACATCCCAAAACTAAATCGTCCTATATTCCTTTCCGCAAGGAGCCTGTTCATCCAAATGGATACGAATAGCGATGGATTCCTCAGTACTGATGAGCTGCACCAGTGGTTGAAAGGCAATGCCATGGAACAGTGGTCCGAATATGGGCTAAAGCCGTCCGATATGTTGACGTGGGAATTTTACAAGCAGAAAGTTACCGAGCCTGATGGCGAATATGAAGGTGGGATGGTCTTTCTTGTTTTGGTTACTTTTAGTTCGATTATTATTGGTATGGTTTACTTCAATCCCTTTTTGATGTTCATATTTGGCTCCTCAGACAAAGACGAGGAATCGAGACAGAAGTTCTTGGAACGTGACAGACGTCGTTGGGATTTGGCCGATGCTAACCATGATGGCGTGTTGAGCTTTACGGAAAGTGCGGCGTTCTTCAATGCTGAGTCACATCCAGAAATGCAAGACGTGGTGGTTCAGGTAAACTGGTTGCTGGTCATGCGCTACATGCTCGTTTGATTTCTATGAGGGTGCCTTATCCAGTCCGCTTGTTACTTCCCTCTGTATCTTTTAGTTTGTGGTCCCCTGTGCTTGACAACCGAAGGAATTTTTGTGAACTGACAACCACTGATTCCCGAATTGACTTTTTCTTTCTACTGGTCGCCTCTTATCACACTGCGCTCCGGGCACATGGGTTTTGTTTGATCATATACTCGATAAGATTCGAACAGAATGCTCCTCGTGAGTACGAGTCGAGGTGATGCAAAGGTTGGCCGAATGTCTTTTGAACGATTTAGGTGCCAGACGAACTAGTTGCACTCCGCAAGTCACTTGACCGAATTCCTTCATAGTTGGTGGTAAGGAACTGGTTGTGGGGAAGATCTGTTTCGAAAAGTTTGTCCCCCAGGTTCATTACAATGCGTGTTACTAACTCTGTCTGTCCCGTGCTACATAAAGATGTAAACTCCAAGCGCCGGTGTCTTTGGCCGTGCTATGACTGAATCCTGCCGGCTCAACAGAACTGGAGTTTGCAGTAGGTTAACTGTGCTTCCCACCCGGTAGTCCTGTAGGCAATCAACTGAGATTTCTGCACCATTGGCTAGTATGACCCATATTTGTAGGGAAACTCGTGTTACTGCA